TAAATGTATAGCCAGAATGCTAAACAATTATGATCAAGAAGAAAAATGGAACTGTTACATTCATTGTAAGTTATCTGATATCAGGGTTACAGACACTTACTCAGCCAGGGCTCAATTTGTAGACAGACCATGTATAAATACAGATCGTCACAAATCTTACCTTTTAAGTCAATAGGTTTTCATCCAAACATATCTTCCCAGAGAATATAAGTGGTGTTTAGATTCTAAGACTAATATTAAAAAATAGCCAAAATTTGGGGCTGGAAATAGAAACTATTTATACAAAGATAAGAAAACACTTATTATAATTTAAAATATTATATGCAAAAGAAAAGTCATTTTAAGGAAAGAGTAGATGGGACTTTTGGGGAGTCTCTTTTTCAGATTTGGGGTGCCTAGGTGGCCTCTAAGAGCTGATGGCATCAATTCCTTGGACCACATTTCTTAATAAAATGCTTCTAGGGAAGTCTGGGAGTTGTCATTCTCAAAATTTTAGGGCACACAATTATAACAGAAAGACTTGGGGAGATTATCTCAAGGTAACCAAAGAAGAGTTAAAGGAGAAGGAGAGAAGGTAGGTGTTTAACACATTGACTGCCACACTAGAAAAAAATTTTTCCCTGGGGCCCTGGTGTTTTATTAAAACAAAATGATCTTTTCTAATTTGTTACTTTTTATTGTTTTCTGTGTGTAAGTTATATGCAATGCAATTCACGTTTTTGAATTAAATCGTCAATTGTAAGAATAAGAACATCAACAAGTAAGATTTTCATGAACCAACTGCAGGGTTTTGCTTCATGGGACCCTGGGGTTACAACTAGCCTGAGTTAAATATAACTCACATGGCAGTCAATGTGTTAAGAGCATTAATGGGGAGGCACAGGACAACTCATGCGAGATGAATTAACGGAGGAGAGTTGTACGTAGTGAAAATGGGGTGAAAATGGCAAACCATCCTAATATCCAGTAGATGAGGGGGATGACAGGATATGAAGAGAAATGAGACAATGAGTTAGAGGCAAAGAGTCTTCAGAGTGTGACCAATATTCCACATAAAATGTCACCTCTCATTCAGATTTGGGGGATTTTTCAGCTTATGGCAACCCCCCCCCCAACAAATGTCCCAAAAGAACCACAGAGGTCTGTAACTCTTATGTAAACAATAAGTTCTCCCTCATCAGAACTAAAATGTTATCAATGTGAATTTGAAAAATGAAAATGGAATTTTGAAAAATACTGGAAAAAAATTAAATCACATAAACCTAGTTTCATCAGACGTTAAAACACACACACACACACACACACACACACACACACACACACACACACACACACACACACACACACACACATTCTCATGGTCTTAGGCATTGATCCACCTCTATCCTTCCTGATAATCACCAACAGGAAGCTAGGCATGGCAGGTAGGATGATACCAATCTTCTCAAAAAATCAAAATTCGATCTATAGAGTGGCTTTCATGTGCCTGTCTGACTGCTACAGGACACCTTTTTCTTTTTATCTTTCACCTCATCTCTCTGCAAATCTCCTATTCCAGTACCCCGGGACTTCTTATTCATCCTGCTTTCCTTCAAACAGCTATTTTCTCTCCATTACCTTTTCCCTTGGGAATCTCATACCCCCTAGAGCTTTAATACACACCATAGCCTCCCCACCCAGCCTTCCCATTAGCTTTAATCTCACTCCTGTTTCCAAATGTCTGCTGGATTTTACCTGGATGTTCAAAACAAATTTTAAAATGCCATACATGAAACAGAACTGATCACTGTCTTTTCTGCTTCCTTGAATGGTACCATCATCTTCTCAGACACTCAGGGCTGTAGCTTTGCAGGTATGACTCTTTGTTGTCTCTCCCATGCAAGTAATTGCCAGGTCCTACTCATTTGTGCAATATTTCTTACATCCTTTCTTCTTTCTATCAGTGATCATAGCTGTAACTTCAACTCTGTTCATTTACTTTCTCTTTCAGTCTTGTCTGCCTGCTGCTGCTGAACCAGTCATTTTAAATGGAGACTACTACACTGTGCTGTCCTATTGTTCAAAAATGGCAATGGATCTCTATTGAAGTTCACTTTTCTTAGCCCGACATCAAAGATTCTCTGTTGCCTCAACTAAATTTAATTTTTTTCTGATTTAGACCTTACCTCTTTTCCCTCCTGTTATGTATGTTGTATCTAAATTGGATACTTAGTGGTATCTTAATTGTGCTTTATACTTTCCACCTCCAAGTAGTTCATTCTGCTCCTTCACCGGAATGTTCATTTCTCCTTCCCTGATACACACGTTCAAATTCTGACTATGCTTCAATAATAAACACGAATTTTACTTTTTTAATTAAGCTTTCCTTTGGTGTACTGAGTTGAAGGTGATCATCTTTTCCTTGAACTTTGACAGTACTTCTGTTTCTAAACTTTGGCATATTTATAACTTTTTAAGTCATTTCTTCTTTTGTTTATGTCTCTTCTTCCCTATTTGATTAAAGTCAAATAATTTGACTTATTTACCTCTGAATTTCTCTATATCACTTAGTGTATGAAAAAGGTATAGTACTCCTCAAGGAATTTAGCATTGGTAGGAGAGAAAAGCACTCATGCAAGTAACTACAATATATTTAAGAACAGATACTGAGTGACTGAAGAGGGTATGCAAATCATTTTTATTTTATGTCTCTGCGGAAGAGTGAGGACACTATGTAGTCTACATAATACCACCTATGTGGATAAAAATTAAAAAATTCTGTCACTAACATTATTCTCCAAAAGTCCAGATAAGTATTACTTAGCTAAATAATCTGGGTGTCTTTTCATGGAAAAAAACTCTAAGTGAGAGATTTTAAGATAGAAACAACATGAGTACAGATACATACATTTTTGGGAACCTTAGTGGAAATTTATTTATCATCTCACATTGAAAATGGTTTAGATTTGAGCTTGTCCAACTTCATTAAGAACTGACTTAATGCAATATTGATCTTGTCCATTTCTGCTGGCTTTGTCTTGTGGGCTGGGTTAGATTTCTAGACATTTCACCTCTTTATTTATTCTGGTGGAGTTGGGGGAGGAATGATTATTATTTTGCTTAAAAATAGTTTTACTGCTGTGTATAGTTTGTCTTTACAATTTTCTTTTTAATCCTTTAACATAATCACTTTTTCAGGTTTTCCATTCATACCATCCGTGACTTACTAATAATTTTGGCAGTCTTTGGTTCTGATAAATGAAACTCTAGTCAGTATTGTGTTCAGTTTTTTACATAAGATAATGGTCTGAAATCACAATAGGTATATATTAGATTTTTTTGTACTAGATTGGACCGAATACTTTTCATTTTGAGTTTACAATTTAGGAGTCACATTGGCAAGATTCTCACAAAACAATCTGAGTAATTCTCTAGTGAGACTGTGAAACTTCAGGAGATTTACAGGACTATTGGGGTAAAGAATAAACAGAGGCTGTTAATGCTGGTACAGAATACTGAATGCTGAGGCATTACCAACATCTCTCTTTAGGATGATGCATTTATTTATGCTAATGAATTTATTTGTGTTCACTGAATTTGAGCTCATAACATAAAGCCCCAAGTATTCATTAAGAAGCAATAAAAATCCTTGCTTAGTCAGTGAGGCATTGTTAGCTGAATCCTCTCATGAGGTTCATGTCATTTCTCAGGAAGTTTGCAGTATATGGGTCAAATTTCTTATGTTCTTTTGGTTGCAAAACAGAACTTAAATCCTAATTGAAACTATCTATGAGAATTCTCTAAAGCTGCCACCAGCTCTCAGGGCTACTCCATCGTTTGCTAAAGATAGTTACAAATGTCCTATTTGTTGATGTTCTATGAAATTAATTTTATGTGTTTATAGAAATTTATAGTAAATGGTTCAATACATTGAGACTTGGCATGAAAAGGGACATTTAGAAGGCATGATGAAACACTTCACATGGTGAGTGTTTTACAATTTGAAATGCTCTGCTTAGTTGCTTTAAATGTGGTATGCCCTAAGCGTTCCCACTGAATTGACGCTTTCTCTAGTCTCTACTAGGTATGTCCTACACAGTGGAATGCACTTCTGCTTAAGATGTGCATCCTGTTACGCATAAGTACTGCAGTACTCCCTTGAGTTTCTTTCCAATTGCCTTGGACCTTGACAGATCCCTCCTCTCTGATCCCACTGCAGTGGACTAGGTTCTCTATACCCCTAGTCACTGAGAGGGACACTGGTTTAATCTAGAGAGAATATAGACATGGATGTACTTACCTGAGCATCACCACTGCTTTACCTGTTTACCTGCACTCCACACTCCCTTTCCTTTCCACTCTTAGGGCCAGATATCTAGGATATCAAAGGAAGCCTAGATAGATGCAGTTTCTTGAACATCTTTGGATTGCTGGCACTCTGTCTTCAACTCCAGGTGGCCAGCTGTACAGCTAATCCTGCTACCTCAGTTTGTTCAGTACTGCTTACTCTATACCCATTGAGTTCCCTAGAAGTTGATTTGGGGTGCTTATAATAAAATGTTAATTCTTTCCATTTTATCATGTTTTTCAATGGTAAAATTCTTTACTTCTTAAAATATAGACCTCCCTGATTTATTTCCATTAATTCCCAAGAGAAGTAATTCATCAGTTTTTAAGGTCTGCTTTGGGTGAAAATACCTTAGACTATTTATTGCCTGATAGCCATTCTATCAGATGTTTAAATAATACAAGGAAAAGTTGCACTAATAGATATGCTATTTTCACTAGAACTACATTCTCTAGAAAAAAACACTTTTGAAACTCCTTACTCTTTTGTTTCATTTAATAAAACCATGAAGCACTTAGTTCGACCAGGGCACAGACTTTTAAAGTAGTCTCTACAGTTGGCTGAAAGAATATTCTTGCATTAGATGGAAGAATATGGACACACTACAGCATAAGACACAAAATGTGGAGTTATAATGGGCAATAAAGAAAGCTAGAGTAAAAGGAAGTATTACCTTAGGGTCATGTATTCCAGAAAGCTCTTCATAGATCTTCTCACCTACCATGACGGCAGCCAAGTTTGCAGTGTACGTAGAAAGGCAAAACATACAGAAAATGGCCCAAAGGTTCATTAGAAACCTTCCAGTCCAGCATTTCGGGGGTTTGATGGCTACTGTTCTACCAAACAAGAGGGCATAACAGACATTCAAGGCTGAAGAAAAGGAGAAGACTTTACTTCTATTCCGCCCCTTGGGAGTCATTCCAAAAGGGCTCTTCCATTCATACAGAGTGAGGAAGATGGCAGTGATATGCAGAGCCACGAAAATACCCAGCCACATTGTCCAGTGGAGTGGCCACATGAAGGCTCCGATGGGAGCTGCTGTGTCTCGGGTCCTCACTAAGATGCCCAGGCTGGTGGAGAAAAAAGGGCTGGTGAAATCTATCACCTGGCTCCGTGCAGTATTGATGCTGAAGGAAGTGACTGCCATATGGGCAGTCCCACTCAGGAGATCACCTACCAGCCCAGTCCAGTGCCCATTTTTCCAGGCTCCATACTTTCCATCCCCAACAATATAGAGGTCAAAGTCAAAGTTCATGTCCTCTGCTAGCTTTTCCAGCAGATCGATGCAATATCCATAGCAGCACTTCTTGAATTTAATGGGCACTGTATCATTACCACTGTGGAGGCTGCTAAAAAGGTTGTCCAATACAGAAGAATCATTAGTCATGGGGTCTAGACAGAGCTGGCCAGCAGGGCATAAGCCTTCATCATCTACCTCCCTTGTGAAGACAAACGGATGCTCAATCAAGGTAACCACTCTCAAGTGTAGCTTACTTGGGTGTTGGAAGTGGGTTTTGTGTCTCTGGGCTGGCTCTGGCCATACTCCATAGTCCATGACGATCTTTCCCCCCTGCCAGCTGCCCAAGCGGGTCCACATTGGCTTTCCCATGGGGTCATGTTGCAGATTCCAGATGAAAAAGTTGTTTTCTGAGCTGATGATGGTGGAACCTTTTACTTTGATGGAACCACTGAGGCCTCTGAAAGTGGTGTTGGCTAGAAACCTGGCAAGGAGGAGCAAAGGCAAAAAGTAAGGAAGAGAGATGAGGCCAAAGACAGGAAGCAGTGTTCTTCTTTGCTTCTCTGTCTTAATAAAAATAAGCTCTACTTATTGTTAAAAATGACGTTGCCTATAATTTCTTCAGGAATTAATAAACTGGACTCTTTTTAGGGGTGCAGTTCTATTTCATTGAGTTAATAAGATCTTACCCTTAGGTTCTAACACCTTGGCCAGGTGCTTGACTATTGATCTTACTCCAAACCTTTTAATTCCTGGTTAAGAGATGTTTTAACTATTTTCTGTTATAAATTGTTAATTATATATTCTCATAACTTTTCAAGCTATGGAGGTTCTAAGCATTTTTAGCATGTCCCATTCCTATTGTTGACTACATTTGATTGCCACCGTATTTGCTCAATAAATATACATTTTTTTGGTGTGAGGAATGAATTTGAATAAGTGTGCATATACTTGTATAATTGCTTAAAAATTGCATTCATAGAATTGAAAAATAGCTAAATCTTGTTACCAGTGTTTCTTCCTGTAGAGTGGAAACAATGAACATATCTGTCCCCATGAGGCCAGCAGAAACTGCATGTTGGGTATCAACCGTGGAACAAAGAAAAAGATGATAAATCAACTTGCAGTTCTCAGGATAGCTTCAGGCTACTGTTCCTCTAAGTCATCAGAGAAAAACAACTGGCCCTGGCTCTAGAGAGAGCTTTTGTCGGAAGTCAAATAAAGGAAAATTACTAACTGATTTCTAACCTTGTGAACTAGGGCACTTTCAATGTTTGTTCTGATATGGACTAGACAGGAAAACTAGACTGATTTGGCTTGGTTGTAGCCTCTGTCTTTCTTGAGTCTGGGAAGATAAGACAATAAGAGGTAACATATGAGCTTGTAGTATCTTAACGAGGGCCTGTGTCAGAATAAAAGCCCAGGCTTTGACACCAGACACACCCATATTTGTATACTGGCCTAGTCACCTGCAAGCATTGACCTTGGACAATTTACTTAACTCTATGCTTCAGTTTTGTCACCAGCAAATGGAGAAAATAATACTTCCTTCATTATAAGAGTTGGAAATAACTGATGCAAAGAACATACCACACCTTCTGACATGGAACATATATTCCAGATATGGTAGCTATTATTTAATGTCATTTAAATTTTTTAAAATCAAAGCTGTTTCCAGGCCACTTTTCCAAGACTTTTATTATAATTTTTGTAGTTGAAGACACAAAGTACTGCATTATGGTAAACCCATAGCATTTACTCAAGATACATTTCAGATGAAAAGGAATTAAATTGAAATGTAGAATGTAACAGTAGGTATTTTGAAGAACCAGATGATAGAAGTCTGGGCTCTCAGTAAAACACATTCACCCATTGCCTGTCATAAACATTATTCCCTAATTTACAAATGCATATAGAAGTTATGTTGCCACAAAAGGGACATAAAAAATCAAAGTGTGAAGTATATACTAATTTTCATTAGAGATATAAATGTAAATCATATTTGAAGAAGCTACTATCACTAAATGCAATGAAAGTATTCATTTTGGTAGATTGCGTATAATGGTAATTATTTATATTAGCAATCACGAGTGGGATGCTAGCACTTAAATTCTATTTTGCAATAAGTAATGAAGTCTCTGCTATCTTAGACTTTGGAAGTTTTCTGCTTCTTTAGAAAAGGAACCAAATCACTAAAATATACAGATTAATCAATTGATAATTACCTAGGTAATATAAGGGAAGAGTAGCCACAATTGTTTCTGATAAAAAATCTACTTTTAGATTTGTTAAAACAACCACACACACACATTTGCTGACATAACCTAGGGAATAAAAATGGTTGCTAGTAAATAGGTTAGTTTGTTTTGGTCAATTTAATGATCAGGAAAGTAAGGTAAAAATTTTGGAAAGAGGAGCTCTTCGTTATTTTAAGAATATTTGGGCCGGGCGCGGTGGCTCACGCCTGTAATCCTAGCACTCTGGGAGGCCGAGGCC